GTATATCATTTCCCAGAAGTCTTTCGCCTTTTTACACTCCCACCACATATGATAGAAAGTACCTTCTTTTTCTTTACATTTCCAACACTTATTGCATGTTTTATACATTTTGGCCAGTTTAACTGGCGTTATATACCATCTGTAAAACATTTTCATTACATTTTCTTTCAACGCAGTACATGCCGTAAATTTTAACCTTTCATTCCATAATTTCATCCAATCATCATACTGTATATTGTAACCAAAGTCTCTTGCCCAGTGTATCATTACTACTTTTACCTCTTCATCTTTTGTATGCCACTCCAGCAACACTTTATACATTTTAGACAGGTTTTTATACTCATTATTCAATACCTCCATTTGGAATTTTGATTCTTTACCTTCATACCCACACATTTTACAATCTTTTTAAAACATTTCATTAATCTGAAAGTCGAGTAACCAGTCGTAAACAAATTCTTTCACCTCTTCAGAAGTTTTCATTTTCCATTTCCCCCCCTCTCTTGTTACCAATTCTCCATATGTTATCCACCTCCCCCTCATATTAATTTTTTTCACACTCATCACTTCTAATGGTGAAATCCAATGGGGGAGTCTAGGTTCCAACAAGTTTTTATACCTCTCCCACACCTCTATCAGTGATCTTCGGAAGATGTGGTTTTCAAAACCTTTGTGAATTTTTTTCTTCTCATACCATAGGTAAGCATGCCAACCAAATCTGTTGTCAAATCCTTCTAAATCTAACAGCTCTCCATTCTCTAATTTAATCCATTCCTTTATCCAACAGAGGCATGATGCTTCATAATATAATTTCAAATCTGGCAGGGCGAAGCCACCTCTCTCTTTTGCATCTGTTAATAACTTGAACTGAATGCTGATCATTTTGATTGCCCTTTTCTGAACCTTTTCCAATCCTGCACAATATTCCAGATGTGGCCTCACCACAGACTTAAATAATGGCATCATGATATCAGCAGTTTTATTTTCAGTTCCTTTCCTTAGGATCACTAGCATGGAACTTGTCTTTTCCACTCCTGCCAACTCCAGATGGGTTCACATTTTCATCAAGTTATCAATTACAACACCAAGGTCTCACTTCTGGTCAGTCACTGCCAATTATGAGAGCATAATCTAAAATCAAGACTTTGCATCAACATGCATCATTTTACACTTGTTGCATCCCATCCACAATGCCACATATCGTAGGTGACTATACAGACAGTTGAATGCTATCCCATTGGCAATGGGATAGTGTCTTCCATGGCATCTGAAGGCAGAAGGTTAGTTTAGGGCAGGCAGGCAGTTTGTGATCTACCGGTAGATCGCTGCATGTCTGTGGTAGATCACTGGTAGATCACTGGCTCCCCCCAAAGAAGCTCAACAACTTGGGCTCCCCTAAAAAAAGCTCAACAACATTGCACTGAACTCTAAAAAGGGGGGTAGATCACTGCCAGTTTTTAACTCTATGAGTAGATCACAGTCTCTTGGGAGTTGGACACCCCTGGTCTAGGGGAATGCTGCCCCCCCCAGCATCTGCCACCTGGGGAATTTTCTCACTTTGCCTAATGGCTCTGTAACAGAATTCTCAGCATCCTAAGCACTAGGATACTTTGGTGGCAGCCTTAACAGTTATACTAGTCTAAAAGTATTAGAAGTCCCTTTACAGCTCTCCATTGCTCTCTTCATCAGTACCAATGAACACCATACAAAGTGTTCTCAACTTCTTACCCTACACCTCATGCAAGTTTGAAAGAAACCATACTTCTGAAAAACTTGGTGCTATATGATAACTTCACCCCCCACCCACCCACTTACTTGAAGTGTATGCAGAGATTTTTCGGGGGTGGGGGTGGCATTATATCATCCTGCATGATATAGTATGCTATAAAACTATTCAGACACTCATGAGGGCTGTAATTGAACATACGCTAGTTGTCTATGTGCTTACTAAAACATTTATAGACAAGCATTAAAAATGTTATAGACATATTATGGCCTTATAAATTAGAAGCTCTGCTGGAATGAAGTAGTTTAACAATGGTGCTTTACAACAGACATGCAAAAAACAGCAGTTTTACTGGCATGACATGTTAGGAACAGCTTATTTGTTCAATGAGTCATCCATTCACTCATGTAAAACCCTCCTGTTCCAATGAAACCATCTATCCAGTACAATGCCTCTGACTTGTCTGGACTGAGCTTCAGCTTCTTGGCCCTGTTCCAGTCCATTATAGATTCCAGACACTGACTGAGCATGTTCACAGACTCACCTAAGTTAGATGAAAAAGGGAAAGAGGTGGCTGTCACCAGCATACTGATGTCATTGTACTCCAAATGCCTAGATGACCTCACTTAGCAGCTTCAAACAGATGTCACACAACAGAACTCAGAAGTATGGCACAGAGCAATTGTTTCCCAGCATTCCTGTATGTCAAGATAGGACAGAATCATTGAGGCAATCCTTGTAATGCTCCCATCCCAGATATCTAGTCTAGAAAGGGACCATGGTCAATGCTATCAAAAGCCAGTGTGAGGTCTAAGGGAAACTTCCTTGCTCTTCATCCCAGTAGAGGCTATCCATCAAGGGCAACCAAGTCCCTTTTTGGTGCTGAAGCCAGTCCTTACACTAGATTGAAGTGCATCCAGCTAATTGGTACAATGCAGAGAGTTGGGAGTAACACAGCCCAGCCTGCTCGAGCAATTTGGCTCAAAAGTAATATGTGCCACCAACTGTTAGAACTATCTTCCAGGTGCACAGTGGACTCGTAAGCTTTCTGTTAACTCCTCAGCAGATAGGGTGCAAATAGGAGAGATTCAGCGAAGAAGAATTCTATTCTAGCCTGCATGCATCTTAAAACTAGTTGAAAGCAAACAGCTTTATCCCATGTTCTGTTTTGCAGTGTTGGCAGTGGCACAAAGGAAAATGTGGAGATTTAGAAGTGGTGTTAATGTGTAGGTTACAAGAATCCCAACTGCCCTACTCTTCATGTCTCTTGTCATCCCTGAAGCTGCTCTAAATCTCTTTGCACTAGAGCTGTTTCCAGCCCTACTCCCAGCTCCATCTGCTTCATCCAGATTGCCCTCCCCAATTGGTGCCAGTACAATATTGATCTGTTGAAATGCTTTGTTATTAACTGTAGCTGTTAATGTGTTTTTAAAGTCAAGTGTCATGGAGCTGTAATGATTCTGACCTACCCATCAGGGACAGGCTGCTGATATTGCACCGCCAACATACCTGTTTTCTCCAGAGCTGATAATGGCAGCATAAGAATAGGCTGCCAGCTTTGAAGAAGAAAAAATTAGAGCATTAGCTGCCTAGAGGAAAGCATAAATTGGCTGGTACAAGGCAACTTGAGCAATGGCCAAACAGCTTTACAATATGAGCAAGAAGGAAAAACATCCTAACTGAGATTTTGCATGCCTTCACTTTAGTTCAAAGGAGAATTTTTATGGCTGAGTTGTAAACCTTTTAAAGGATGGGATTTCTAATGAAATTGTGAAAAGCTTAACTATAGCAGCAAAAAAATGCATAGCTATAATACAATTTAATGGCATATTCAAAATCCTATAATGGGCTTGCCAGTGAGACTCATTTAGCTTTTTCACAGTCTGTAAACCTTTTGCTTGAGAGAAATGAGCCTATTTTCATAAATGTATGTCTGGAGAAATACATAAGAATGTATTTCATCTCTCCCCACCATGATTGACTAGGCCACCTCTGATATATTTGTTCCAATGTTTTGCGGCTATTGAAATGCTACGCAAGCAGGCATAATGGGATTGCTTCCATGCCTAGAACCTCAGAATGTCCTATAGCCTCATCTATATTTTTCTAGAAAGGCTTGTGGGGCAATAAAATCTTGATGACGGAGGAGGAGGAGGAGGAGGAGGAGGAGGAGGAGGAGGAGGAGGAGAAGAAGAAGAAGAAGAAGAAGAAGAAGAAGAAGAAGAAGAAGCAGCAGCAGCAGCAGCAGCAGCAGCAGCAGCAGCTACATTAGGGCTCATCCACACTACTTGTCCCATGTCTAGAAAGCACAGGTCCAAAAGGTTTTCTGCTTGTTCTGTGCTTTCTGGGCACAGGTTTGAGTGCTCTTCCATTTGTCAATCTGCAGAAAATCCAACTGATGTTTTCTCCAATTCAGTGGTAAAGAGGTTTTCCCGGGACAAAGTGGTGAGGCAAGGAGAAATATGGACAAGCCTTTACACTGAACTATAGCCTTCAAGGCAGCCAATACAGCAACCTTACTTAAGTGAGCAGGTCAATGTCTTCAGGTCAGTGCTTTGATGTGGAGAAGAGAAGACTCCCTGGAAAAGACCCTGGTGTTGGGAAAGATTGAGGGCACAAGGAGAAGGGGATGACAGAGGACGAGATGGTTGGACAGTGTTTTTGAAGCTACCAGCATGAGTTTGACCAAACTGCAGGAGGCAGTGGAAGACAGGAGTGTCTGGCGGGCTCTGGTCCATGGGGTCACAAAGAGTCGGACACGACTAAATGACTAAAAAACAACAACACTGAGGATTGTACATGTGCCACATTGAGTTCCGTGGAAGAATAGTAGGATAGAGATATCACAAATAAATAGGTGATAGGGTTTATTTACTTAGACTCCTTATATCCTGCTTTATAGTCCTGAGACACTCTCAAAGTAGCCAATAAAAGATCATCACAATAAAAATCACTTGTCTGGATGGAGGATAGAGAGGGATGTATGTGTGTAGAAACTATTCTACTGTACAAGGGTAAAATTTATGGTTGTTGCTCTGCTCACTTTTGTCTCTGGCCCTGCCTAGCCCTGACATGTGGCCCTCAGCAGGTTGCCCAGATGAGAATGAGGCCCCTGGGCTAAAAAATAAATAAAAAGAAATGCCCAGCCCTTGATTTAGCCTTTCAAGTTCAAAGCAGGAGCAGCCAGAGCAATACAAAAGACTGCTACTGTAAAACCTTGTAGCAGTGATAGTGGTATAACCAGACTTTATTTGGGAGAAGAAAGATCTGACCTACACAAGTAGCTCAGTCAGTAAGAGAATGAGACTCTTAATCTCATGGTCATTAGTTCAAGCCCTGCATTGGGCAAAAGATACCTGCATTGCAGGGAGTTGGACTAGATGACCCTCTGATCCCTTCCAAATCTGCAATTCTATGATTTTACACAAGCCCAGCTTCTGCAACCTTTATGTAATACCTAGTGAACCTCTGGTGACTGAAATTCTGCCACAACATATGGGTAAAGCAACTTACCAACTATATAGGTAGAAATGAAGCCTTGAAAAAAAAGGGGGGGGAGGTTGAAATCTTTGCCTCTGAGCTCCAACCTAGAAGAATTATGCCATCAAGTAGAGCTTTTGGTGCTTAAGTTCTGCTCTGGTAAGCTCTTCTAAGCAGGGTGTGAAATAGAAACTTGAAATTAATGGTCCATAATGAGAGAGAAAGAGAGAGCTGCCAGCCTACTGCAAAGCAATCCTGACACACACACTTGGGTAGTTACAGTCCCCTATGGCACATGACAGCTAGAGTCAGTGAGGGTGACAAATATGACAGTACTACACATTATAAATATGGCATTTATTTTTTAAAAATGCACCGCCTATCAAACTATTTGATTTAATAGTGATCTATCCTGCTGCTGGCAACTTTGATCCATTATCATTAACCAAAGGTTTGACAGAAAAGTGCCTTGATTTAGTAGAGAATTATCTGATAAGGGAATATGTTAGATCACACAGACTTGGCACTGATCTACTGCAGGTCCACAGTGCACTGACTCAGCAAGTGACTTTTTTTTATCAAGAGTAACTCCAACTTTTAAAAATGAGCTTCCTTCAATGTCACGTCACATATGCCAGCTTTGCTTCATTTCACTTTTTAAAGGGTAATTGCTTGGGAAAGGTGCCATAATGAAAGCACTATGATCTAAATATATCTGCAGAACAGATCAATGAGAGTTGAGGGGGGGAGGGGTTCCTTCCCAGGACTGACTCTTTGGGAAGGCGGCAGGTGGCAGGTGGCAGAATTTGAACAGGGCTAGCAGGCAGCAGTGTCTCGGCTTAAATATGTTTACTTATTACAATTATATGTAAAATGCGATCTTGAGTATGCGACAAAGTATTTAAAAATGAAATCTGTGAGATCCAACATAGCGTTTGTGCAGGAAATTTAGGAACCGGTATTGCACAACAGTAGCACATGTTATTTGCTGTCGCAGTTATAATAATCACAGTTGCACAAGGGGGTTGCACAAAAACATACATTGGAATCAGCTATTGCAAATGCTCAGAAGAAAGTACTAGAGGACTATGCATCACTCAATAGCACAGTATAATGTACACAAATGACTTAAATATGTGGCTTGTGGGTACTACCTATTGTTGCTCTGTGACAAAGTTCTCTGTTTTGAAGAAGGCCAAGGTGCATACATTGGGTAGAATTGCCATTTGGGTTTTGCACAAAATGTTTTGGACCCACCTTCACCCTTGTCGTGTTGTGTCATTTGCAAGACTTACTTCCTGCCAAGCGGTCGAAAATCAAAATGCCTTCTTGCCATTCACACCATTAATTATATTTTAAATGAGCTTGCTATTCACTTGTCTGTTTACTTGTTTGCTTTTAAAATATTGATATTCTTTTCTGTCCTTTTATAGTTTAAGAGTAACTAACAAGAGCAATTATAAAATACAAGGAACAACAAAGAAAAATCAACCAGAATCACAAGCCAGAAAGGAAAAAGGGAAAGAAGAGCAACTACAAAGAGCATCTGTATAAAAACTGTGTAAGAAATGCAGAAGGATTATACATCAGTTGTGGCAAGGGCACACAGTAGAGACCGGCCTCTAAAGGTCACACGATTTCTTAAACAGGGAAAGTCTCAATGGTGTGGCAAAAGGCCAATGAGGGGACAGAACAAATCTCCCTAGACAGAGAGCTCCAACATCTGAATGCAGCAACAGAAAAAGCAATTTCTCTTGTTTCAACCAAACTCGTTTAGAACCAACAGCATGGCCTCTACAGATGATCTTAATGAAACAATGATATCTGGCCTGGAGGGTTCAACACTGATCTTAAGCAGCGCAGGATCATATGTGAGGAGATGGTCCTTTAGGTATCCGAGTTAAAAACAAAATAGGGTTTCAAAGGTCAGGACCAGCCTTTTGATCGGGGCATTGAAACTACTAGCCTCTAATCTGCCAGTAGTGTTGCAAGGTGTGGAGCATCCCAGACTCTGAGATTTCAGGTCCAAACCTAGAGGTCTCAGCCTTTGTATTATAAAAAATACATTGCCTAGTAAATTAATACAGCAGGGTGGATCAGAAAGGAAGGAAGGATGGATAAAAGTCTGCAGTGCATAAAAATATAATTCATTCATTCATTTCCCTTCTCTTCAGAGGCATACCTAGGGTCCCTTGCATCTTTGGCAAGTAGCTGTATCAAAGCCCCTGCCCCCCCCCAAAGATCCCACATTTGATCTTGCCACATGGTGCCACTCACAGATATGTCTTACCAGTGCTATTTTTTCTAGAACTCAAGCACGCTAACAAGACCAGAGAAGCTTTGGTAGCTTTTCAGCACAGGCTCCAAGGTAAGAACAGTCCCTCAAAAACATCTCCTTAGAAATCAAAAAGTTTGTGCAGTTCCCAAAAGTTGCTTTGCTGGTCAGTGGGTACACAATGGCTTCTCTCTGGTCCTCTCTGGAGACTTTGGACCAGGTGCCATCTGGGCCACCTCCTGCGGGTCATTTGTCACAGGCCAGTGCTGTTGTTTCAACAGTAATATGTTCCTGATGACCAGCTCAAGGCAACAGTCCAGCCACTGCATTGACACATCAGTGATGGTTTCATTAGGAAAGTATAATAAAGATGGTGGTCTCATTGGAGTCCCTTGTCCAAATGCCACTACCAAGAAACATGCAGTAGGAGTCTTCTCCACTATCCCATCCAAAAGGCTTGCTTGTAACCTGCTTTTTATTCTTTAGGACTTAAAGATTTTATTATTATTGTTATTCTCCCAGATCTGAAGCCAGTGGCTTTTTAAAAGTTTTTTAAGGACTCTGTTTATATTTAATTTTACTGCTTCATTTCTGCTGTGCTGTGCTTTACATTATAATTGCTGTTCGCTGCTTTTATTGCATTTCACACTGCAATTTTTTTATTGTTCTATTGTATTTTAACCATTTTTATTTACACTGCCCACAGAACTCTGCTTATGGGGTGGCATAAAAACATAGTAAGTAAATAAAAAGAGAAAAGAAATGTGTAACAATAAGGATTTTTAATGACACAATCTTTTGTACTTTTGGCTGGAAATGCCACCATCAGCACAATTACTATTTGTTTTTTTTATGGCAGGTTTTTCCTGATATTTAAATCAAACTCTGCCCCTGCCCCAGTCTTTGATTCAGTTCAGTTTTATAGTTTTAGTTATAAGCCATAACAACACCCAGCACAGTACAAAATGCAAGGTATATTAGAATTGAATGTGTGTGGCTGCCCTTCCCACAATTTATACACCTTCCAGTTTTGCAGAGTAGGGATTGTGCATAGAGTTCCGACATGCACTTGGTTATGCATAGCTGAGTTTCCTATGTATAAATGGATACAGGAACATGTAAAGGTCAGATAGCAGCTACAATCCTAATTCCCCTCTCCATTCATTTACACATTAGATTATCATCCACAAAGAGTGGTAGAAAAACTTGCCTTCTCGTTTAAAATAATGAGAATTTCCATTGAAGATTTGTAAGGGCACCTGAAACAGGGTGAATTTTTGCAGTATCCCTTCTGTTGGTAAATTCACAACACAAATACACACTACATTCTCTGAGTTACTTAACTAAAGGATGACAGACATCCCTAAGATAAGGGAAGTGGCTTAGAGAACAACCATATGGCAAGATCAGCCAAGGTGAGCCGCGTAAGGATACAGCAGATCTTATGCTGGAGATTTCCAGTCCTACACTGGCATAATATGTTCATTTACTCAGACTGAATGTTTTGGTTATAAAATTGGAGTTTGGCTCCAGGAAACATAACAGATAGATACAAAAGGGCAGTGTTCTGGTTGTAGGAAAGTCTTGGAGAGACGCATGAACTTCCCAAATGCTAAAGCAGGAGATGCAGTTTTGGTATTCTATTTCTGCCAGCATACGTCTCAAGTTGGGTCCTGGGCTGCAGCTTTAAGAGGTGTGACTAGGTGCTGTCCTTTAGGGCTAATGAGGTAAGGAAGGTCAGATTTAACATTATAAAAATAAATGTGGGATATTCCTTACAGTGAGGGACACTTGGACAGCCTGCGTTCTATCAATAACCAAATTGCCACGGTAAATCAGTCCCTAGGCCGTATAACTGTCATTTTAATGGAAGGGAAATGCACAAACACAATATTGTTTCAGTTGATTCATTGGAAGTCGGCAAGCTGCAGCCTCTCCTTGAGAGAAATAGGACAAAAATGTTTAGTGCATTGAGGTGGGTCAGCCACCACAGTATACTAAAACTCTCTAGTTCTTGCTCAGATGAAAACTAGATTGTGAAGTGTTTTGTTTTTTAAAAAAGATGCCTCCTTGACACTAATATTGTGACTTTTGGTCTCTTGTGCAGCAACTTCTTGGGATAGAGGAATCCACAACCGAGGGCTGCCATTACTATTACTACTACTACTACTACCACTTTTACTATTATTAAAGGTAAAGGGACCCCTGACCATTAGGTCCAGTCGTGACCGACTCTGGGGTTGCGGTGCTCATCTCGCTTTACTGGCCGAGGGAGCCAGCGTACAGCTTCCGGGTCATGTGGCCAGCATGACTAAGCTGCTTCTGACGAACCAAAGCAGCGCATGGAAACGCCATTTACCTTCCCGCCGGAGCAGTACCTATTTATCTACTTGCACTTCATGCTTTTGAACTGCTAGGTGGGCAGGAGCAGGGACCGAGGAACAGGAGCTCACCCCGCTGCGGGGATTCGAACCACCGGCCTTCTGATCGGCAAGCCCTAGGCTCTGTGGTTTTATTAGCAGTGCTTTTTTTCTGGGGGGGACACAGGGGTACACATACACCTAAACATTTTGTGAATCTCAGTTTGGCCTCA